TATTTGAAAGTCAATTACTACACCACATTAATAAATGAAGGTAAAAAACCACATGGTTCTCTTATTGCAGAAAGAGCATTCGACAAAATTCAATATCTTCATTTTAAAAAATTAGGAAGAAAAGGAAACTACCTCAACATAATAAAAGCCAAGTATGAAAAACCTATAGCAAACATCATATTCAATGGTGAAAGACTGACAGCTTTTGCTCCGACATTAGGAAAAAGGCAAGGATGACTGCTTTTACTACTTCTATTCAACATAGTGTTGGAAGTTGTAGCCAGAGCATTTAGGCAAGAAGTAGAAATAAAAAGCATCCAAATTGAAAAAAAAAAAGTAAAATAATCTCTCTTTGTAGATTATATGGTCTTAGATGTAGAAAAATCTAAAGAACATACACACACACATACACACACACCCCTGTTAGGACTAATAAATGAATTCAGCAAAGTAGCAGAATACAAAGTCAACACACAAAAAAATAGTTGCATTTTTATACAATAATGAGCAAATCTGAAGAGGAAATTAAGAAAAAATTTCATTTGTTATACAATTGCACCAAAAAGAATAAAATACTTAGGAATTAACTTAACCAAGGAAGTGAAAGACTAGTGCAATGAAAACTGCAAAAGATTGCTGAAAAAAAAATTAAAGAAGGTATAAATAAATAGAAACACATCCCATATTCATAGATTGAAAACAATATTAAGATGTCAGTACTACCCAAAAGAATCTACAGATCAATGAAATCCCTATTAAAGTCCTAGTGATATTCTGCCAGTGATATTTTTCGCAGAAATAGAAAAACCCAAAACAATCTTGTAAAAGAAGAATAAACTCAAGAACTCACTTTCTGATTTCAAAACTTTCTACAAAAATACAGTAATCTAAACGGTATAGTACTAGCATAAAGACAAACATATACCAGCTTGAGAAATACAGCAAGACCCTGTCTCTGCATTAAAATATTTAAAAATTAGTTGGGCATGGTGGCACACATTTGTAGCTCTAGCTATTTGGGAGGTGTAGGCAGGACAATCACTTGAGCCCAGGAGTTTGAGGTTACGGTGAACTATGATCATGCCATTGTACTCCAGCCTGAGTGACAAGACAAAACCCTTTCCCTAAAAACAAATAAATAATAAAAAGACAGACATACAGACCAATATACTATAATAGATAGTCCAGAAATAAACCCACACGTGTGGTCAAATTATTTTTGATATGCAAAACAATAAGGTTGGACCCTTACTTTACACTATATACAAAAATTAACTCAAAATGGATCAAAGACCTAAATGTAAGACAACCTATAAAACTCTTAGAACATAGGGCAAACATTCATGATATTGCTGGGTGTGGTGGCACATTGTCCCAGCTACTCAGGAGGCTGATGTAGAAGGATTGCTTGAGCCCAGGAGTTCAAGTCCACTATTTTGGGCAACATAGTGAGACCCTGTCTCTATAAAAAAAAGTTCATGGCATTGGATTTAGCAATGATTTCTTGAATATGACCCCAAAATTTTTAGAAATTTGTGCATCAAATGACACTATCAACAAAGTAAAAAAGCAATCCACAGAATGGGAGAAAATATTTACAAGTCATTTATCTGATAAGGAATTAACATCCAGAATATATGGTAAACCCCTAAAACTCAACAACAACAAAACTACTGTGAGTTTTAAAATGAGCAAGGCATCAAATAGATGGTTCTCCAAAGATATACAAATGGGCAATAAGCATATGAAAAGATGCCCAACATCATTAATCATTAGAAATGCAAATCAAAACTATAGTGATCCAGGTGTGGTGGTGCAGCCTGTGTTCTCAGCTACTCAGGAGGATCACTTGAGCTAAGGAGTTCAAGACCAGCCTGGGCAACATAGACGCCCACCCCATCCTGTCTGAAAAAAAAGAAATAAAAGCCAAACCAAAACAAAAAGCCTACAATGAGATATCACTTCATACTCATCAGGATGGCTGCCATAAAAATAAATAAATAAATAAATAAATAAATAAATAAATAAATAAATAAAACCTAGAAAATAACAAGTGTTGGTGAGGATGGGGAGAAACTGGAACCTTTGTGTGCTCTTGGTGGCAATGTAAAATAGTACAGCTTCTATGGAAAACAGTATGATTTATGATAGTTCCTCAGAAAATTAAAAATATAATTACCATAAGGCCTAGCAATTCCCCTTCTGAGTATATATCCAAAAGAATTTAAATCAACGTCTTGAAGAGATGTTTATATAATATACTCATGTTCATAGCAGCATTATTCACAATAGCTAAAACGTGCAAGCAACCCAAGTGTCCATCAATAGATAAATGAATAAGCAAAATGATAATACAATGGAATATTCAGCCTGAAAAGCAGAAGGAAATTCTGACACATGCTACAACATAAAAGAACCTTGAGGAAATTCTGCTAAGTGAAATAATCCAGTCACAAAAGGACAAATACTATGTGATTCCACTTAAATGAAATACTTATAGTAGTCAAGATCATAAATACAGAAAGTAGAATAGTGGTTGCTTGGGGTCAGGGTTGGGGGAGAATGGAATAGGAAGCTGTTGTTTAATGGGGATAGCATTTCAGTTTACAAGTTCAAGACAGTTATGGAGATGAACCACATTATAAATATATTGAATACCACTGAAACATACACTTAAAATGGTTAAGGTGGTAGATTTTATGTTATGTGTATTTTACCACAATAAAAAAATTGGGGGAAAAAGATAATTTGTTTAAAGTTATGATAAGGATGTTTTGGGGGGATTTATAACATATGTAGAAACAAACCATACAATAATAGCACAAAACCCGGGAAGGGATAAATGGAAGTTTACTGTTACATAGTTCTTACTCTGATATATGAGGCAGTATAACATACTTTGAAAGGTAGACTCTGATACCTTAAAGATGTATACAAGAAATCCTAAAGCAACCACTAAAGAAACAAAATAAAGATATATAGCTAATAACCCAACAGAAGAGATTAAAATGAAATCATAAAAAATACTTAATCCAAAGAAAGGTAGTTAATAAAGCGAAAGGGGGTAAAAAATAGGTGGGAGAAGTAGAAAACACTTAACAAGATAACAGATTTAAACCAGTCATATCAATTGTCATGTTAAATATAAATGTTCTAAAGATCACAGTTAAGAGATTGTGATTGTTAGATTGTATAAAAAAGCAATACCCTTTGTGCTTCCTAATAGAAACTCACTGTAAATATAAAGACAGTAATTGGTTAAAATTGAAAAGATGAAAAAACAATATACCATGCTAACACTACTCAAAAGAAAACTCATGGCCAGGTGCAGTGGCTCACGCCTGTAATCCTAGCACTCTGGGAGGCTGAGGCAGGAGGATTGTTTGAGCTCAGGAGTTCGAGACCAGACTGAGCAAGAGTGAGACCCCATCTCTACTAAAAATAGACAGAAATTAGCTGGACATCTAAAAACATATAGAAGAAATTAGCAGGGCATGGTGGCACATGCCTGTAGTCCCAGCTGCTTGGAGGCTGAGGCAGGAGGATTGCTTGAGCCCAGGAATTTGAGGTTGCTGTGAGCTAGGCTGATGCCATGGCACTCTAGCCCTAGCATCAGAGTGAGACTCTGTCTCAAAAAAAAAAAAAAAAAAAGCAAGCTCATATGATTATATCAAAGTATATTTTAAAGCAAGGAACATTACCAGGTATGCTGGTAATGTTTGCCTTTCAGTTACAAATTGACCCTTTTGGCCTCATCTGTGATGGAGTTAGGACTTGTCAATTATTAATATTTCTTCTTTGCTGACCAGCATAATTGTTAACCCTGTTAATAGAGGGTGCTGGAGGCACACTGGAGAGGGAAGGATTTTTCTCTCTTGGTTCCAGCTACTGTACTTTATCAGTAAAGCCTAACAACTAGACTTAACTAGCCTCTCCACAAGACTCACCATCCATCACCAACAGCTTGATTCTTTAATCAGACCACCAGAAGACCCTGTGACTTCAAACCCCACACGACCTGCATTCCACAGTTCACTATAAAAGCCCTTGCCCTCTTAGTCAGTCAGGGAGACAGATTTGCAACTATTTCCCCCATTTTTCAGACAGACAGCTTTCACATTAAAATTCCTTTCTTCCTTGGCAATCCTCCTTGTCTAAATAATTGGCTCTTTGTGCAGTGAGTGACAGGACCTAGGATGAATTCCTTTGTGGGTTTGGTAATAAGAGAAGGCATCTTTATTCTTTTACCACCCTATTTGTCTACCTATCTGCATCTGCATTTACATATTCTGCCTTCCCTTTTATTTCAATGGATGAATTGTCCACACTCTTACTTAGAACTGATCCCTCTGATTTTGTACTGGCTTCCAGCCTTTCTTCCATCAAGGACTTTCCTCATGTAACTAGCCTGTTTCTCCTAGATTGTCAACTTCCCCCCTCTCTACTGGATCTTTTCAGTCAGTATACAAAGTTACTATAATTTCTTCATCTTTAAATTTTAAAAATATAGGATCCCAAATCCCTATCCAATGATGTCCTTATTTTTCTGCTCTTCTTAAAAACAAAACTTAAAAGTATTGTCAATATTTACTTTCTCCACTACCTCTTCCTCCACTCTTATCAAATTCTCATCAGACTTTAACATACTTTCACCCACTCCACTAAAATGGCATGTTTCAACACCACTAGTGACCTAAACATTGGTAAATGCAATGGCCAATTCTTAGTTCTCCTCTTACTTGACCTATCATTTGACACACTGGATCACTCCCTCCTTCTTGAAACATTTTCTTCCCTTGGTTTTGCAGATCTAAACTCTCCTACTTTTCCATCTATCTCACCGATTATGCCTACTCAGTCTTCTTAGTTGGATCCTCTTCATCTCCCTCACCTAAGCTGGTGCATTGCTAGAAGAAACCCTACTGAGTAAGTTATTCTTTGGCATACTACTGACTCTGACTTTCCAGTACTTAAAAATTCTGATGTCTGTCTTTTCAAAGGAAAATGATATTACAATTCCTTCTTAAAAATGAGCGCAACTCTCAGGATAACCCCAGAGATACTAACCCAGGAATCTCCTCCAAAAGAGGAAGAAGCGTCTGACGCCTTCCGGAAACGAGCCTTGTGGGAAATGTGGTCTTGGCGGGATGCCCTACAGCCCGGAGGAGACCGGGAACTCTAAATGGACAGTTACTTCCGCACACGCGCAGTAGGAAGGTAGCGAGCATTCTGCATTCAGAAGGGTGCCGCGTGAAGTCAGGGCAGGGGCTGCTCTTTTAGAGTCTGGACAACGCTGTAACCTGATCCTAGGCTTAGAGCCAGAGCTGACAGGGAGGCAGTGAAAGGGTGGCAGGTATGGCTTTGACTTGGGGGCTGTAAGGGAAAGACGGGGAAAAAGGCGGGGACTGGCTTATGGGTTTACCCCGCCAAAGATAAAACTTTACAACCTCCAAGTGCGGTGACTTTGGATCTGGGGATGTGGATCCTTTTCCAACTCTTGAGTAGTTAGGAGAAGGCAAGAGTAGCGCTCCCAGCTGGCACTGGTAGGTTCCTAGTCCCCTGGTGGGGCTGGGAGAGGTTTAATTTGTATTTCTGTCTTTGTAGGTAAAGGTCGCTGTGTAGGAGTCTGTGCGTCTAACTGCACCTTTCCTGGTTCTGACAGCACCATTGGCCCTATCGGAGCCTGTGACAGGAAATTTTAAGCCACTTCAGGGGATCCCGGAAGAAAGCATTTCTAGAGAAACTGCTATGCATTTTCAGGGTAGTCTCACAGCAATCATCTGCAATAAATGCTATCACCATTTTGCATATGAATAAACTGGAGCTGAAAGAGATGAAATTACTTGCCTAGACTCACACGTCTTAGTAAGTGGGAGAGCTGAGGTTCCAACCCAGATATGTTTTCTCCAAATTTCATTCTTTGAAATTTCAAATTTCATTTTTTACCTCACACTCCTTTATAAAACTGTTCATAAAACATAAATAATATTTATTGCTGTCATTTAAGCAATTAATGCTAACTAAATTTCAATTTGTGGTTGTTATTTAGGTCTCTTGGTGTATCTGTAGATCTTCTAGTAAAGACTGTGTAGATGAGGCTGTGAGTCTCTCTTGCCCATTTTAGCCTCTCTAGGGCTCCAGCAGTGCTGGTTAGAATTTCAAAAAGCCCAAACTAAGCTCATAGGAGATGGTGAGTTCCCAGAGAGAGAGAGAGAAACAGACTTGGAGTTTAAGCTGAAGGCTCCAGCTTTAAAAAATAAAACATTTTCTAAAAGAGTGTTCCTGGGTCCCTGAATCCAGCCTTTCCAAGAATGCCCAATCCAATTTGAGATCTTTTATGCCAGCTTCAGAGCAGAAACCAGGCAGTCACAAGAAGGAATACTTTCTAGAGCACTGAGTCTTAGTGATGAGGCTTTTAGTTGGTTTTCTTTAACTCATTCATTATAATATTTCCTTAGGATAAATTTCTGGGAGGAAAAAAATCACTGATTCAAAAGCTAACAAGTTGGTATTAGATCAGTAGGACAGAAATGAACAACATCCTTATCTAAGCTCTGTATATTTGCAACAGAATCAAGTAGAGATTGGTGCTGGTGGAACATGGACTTTTCTGAAATGTCATTCATTTCAGAAAATGGGAGAAATGAATGTCTCCCAAATGAATTTTCTCCCAAAAGAGGAGAAATGTCATTCTCCCACTAGGTGGCATTTTCGAGGCAGCAATGTGGGTGCTTCTGGTCCAATAGAGTAGGATTCTATATTGCAGTCCTGGTTTCTCAGGTCTTTCTATTCTCTCCATTTCTACTTTCATAGATCTCTGTCCAAGAGCTGCAGAAATGATCAATTTCCAGGTAAGGCATCCATTTATTCATTCAGTCATTTAAATCTCCCCCAAATCTATATGATAGAAAGCAATGGTATAGTCAAGGAAAATATAGATTGAATAGAGTATCAGGTCCAAAAGAAAATTTAGGAAATTGATACATTTATATACAATTTGTAGAGTGTGTACAAAGCTGGAATAAATTTAAGCTGCAGATGTATACTCAGTCTTCCTGGAAATCATAGTAAATGGATAGCCAACCAGTTTAAGTATTGGCATTGTCCATATGGATAAAGCAAAATAATTCCCCAGATAAGTAAGATTATTTTCCTGTATAGATAATATTAGAAATAACATTCCCAGCCAGGTATGGTGGCTCATACCTGTAATCCCAGCACTTCAAGAGGTTGCAGAGGAAGGAGCACTTGAGGCTAGTTCAAGACCAGCCTGGGTAACATAGTGAGACCCCATGTCTACAAAAAAGATTATCCAGGTGTGGTGGGGTACACCTGTAGTCCCAGCTACTCAGGAAGCTGAGGCAGTCGGATCACTTGAGCCCAGGAGTTTGAGATTACAGTAAACTATGATCATGCCACTCTACTACAGCCTGGGTGACAGAGCTAGATCTCGTCTCATAAAAAAAAAAAAAATAACATTCACAGCAACAGCCTATGATAGATATACCAGGTTTCCTATGACTTTCTTAGAGTGTTCCCTGCCTAGAGTAAGCAGAGAACATAGTATTAACCAGCAGTAAGTGAACTCAATTTGTAAGTTTGGGTACATAGCCTTTAAAATGGCTACACGGATCCATAAGTAAACCTTGTATCATTTCCAGAGTCTCCACTATCTTGAGCATTTTCTCTTCCAATGCATTTTAAGGTCATTGAATTTAAGGAATATTGTCAGGGTTCATAAAGTAATGTGTTAGGTACACACACTGCTTCTCTATGTCTTTTTGTTTGTTTGTTTGCTTGTTTTTGTTGTTGTTTTTTGAGACAGTGTTTTACTCTGTCACCCAGGCTAGAGTGCAGTGGCTTCATTTTAGCTCACTGCAGCCTCAAACTCCTGGGCTCAAGTGATCTTCCAGCGTCATCCTCCAGAGTAGCTGGGATTTCAGGCACGTACCACCACGTCTAATTTTTAAATTTTTTGTAGAGACAGGGTCTTGTTATGTTGCTCAGGCTGGTCTCAAATTCCTGGCCTCAAGAAATCCTCCTACCTCAGCCTCCCAAAGTGCTAGATGTATAGGCATGAGCCACCACAGTCAGCCATGGATTTCTCTATGATGACTTTATATTCAGCCAACTTACAGAAGTCCTATTAAGTCCAAGAGATTTTTAGTTGATTCTTAGATTTTCTAGGTAGATAGTAATATGCTCTTCAAATGGCATTTTGTCCCTTCCTGCCCAATATTTATATCTTCTTCCATGTTTTTCTTATCTTATTGCAATGGCCTGACTTCTTATAATTACAGCTTTGACAGACATCCCTTGGTATCTGAGGGAGACTGGTTTCAGGACCAGATACTCAAATCTATGAAGATTCCCAAATCTATGCAAACTCAAGTCCTACAGTTGGCCTTGTGGAACCCAAGGGTATGAAACATTGACCCTCCATACACATGGGTTTTGCATCCTGAACATGCTATATTTTGGATCTGCATCTGGTTGCAGATGTGGAACCTGCCAGTGGAAGGCCAACTGTATTTACTGAAAAAAAAAATCTAAGTATAAGTGGACCTGTGTAGTTCTAACCCATGTTGTCTAGAGTCAAGTGTAATTTCTAGCCAAAAGTCTTTTGTCCCAATTTTAATGGAAATGCTTCAAGTGTTTCACCATTTCCTCTTGTATTCTGATAGATAGCTGGGGGGTTTTGTTTTGTTTTACCTATGCATTCCTGGGATAAACCCTATCTAGTCACCTTAACTTTTTCTTAAAGGGCCAGATAGTAAATATTTTAGATTTGAAGGCCATACAGGCTCTGTAGCAACTACTCAACTCTGTCCTTGCATATGAAGTAAATGAATGAATATGACCATGTTCCAGTGACATTTTATTTATAAAAATAGGAGGCCAGCCCATGGGCTTTAGTTTCTTGATCCCTGCTATATATGGTCTTAACTTTCTCTTTTATGCTAGATATGTAACCACATACCTTTGAATTCAGTGCTTTTAATATTTATCCATTAAGCATGATTTTGGCTCTGTAGTTGGGAGGATATATTTTACCACATAAAAAATTCCATGGGTTCTTATTTTATTATGTATATGTGCATCTGGCATGTCAACTTTTTAGTCTCAATAACCTTTTATTATACTTATGTTTACTTTGTAGAATCTAATAGATTGTAAAATATCTGAGAAGAGTCATAATTGTATTCCTTTTGATATCAATAATACAGGGTTGGTAGGTCCTTGTTAAATATTTTGTGAGTGAATAAATGAAAAATATATGTAATATTTTTAAATAGCTTTATTGAAATACAACTCACATATCATAGAAGTTACCCAATTAAAGTGTATACAATTCAGTGGTTTTTAGGATATTCATAGAGTTGTACAGCCTTTCACCACTATCTAATTTCAGAACATTTTCATCTCCCCAGAAAGATACTCTATACCCATGAGTAATCACTTCCCATTCTTCCCTTTCTCCAACCCTAATCTAGTTCTGTTTCTATGGCTTTTCTATTCTGAACCTTTCATACAAATGGGACCACACAATATGTAATCTTTTGTGACTGGTTTTTCTCAGCCAGTATAGTATTTTCAAGATGCATCCACATTGTAGATGTATAAGTAGTTTGTTCCTCTTTTATTGCCAAATAATATTTCTTCATATGGTTATACCACCTTTTTATCCATTTGTCAGTTCATTGCAGATTTTTCTACTTTTTTGACTACTATGAATAATTCTGCTATGAACATTTGTTTATCAGTTTTTGTGTGGACATGTTTTGAATTCTCTTGGATATATACCTAAGGATTAGAATTCCTGGGTCATGTTGTTACTCTATGTTTCGCATTCTAAGGAAGTGCCAAACTGTTTTCCATATTTGTTACACTGGTTTGGAATCCCACCAGCAGTATACAGTAAATTCAGTTTCTCCACATCTTTGCAAACATTCGTCATTGTCTACCTTGATTTTAACTGTCCTTATGGGTGTGGAGTGGTACCTCATTATGGTTTTTTTGTTTTTTGTTTGTTTTTTGTTTTTTTATTGAGATAGAGTCTCGCTTTGTTGCCCAGGCTAGAGTGAGTGCTGTGGCATCAGCCTAGCTCACAGCAACCTCAAACTCCTAGGCTGAAGCAATCCTGCTGCCTCAGCCTCCCGAGTAGCTGGGACTACAGACATGTGCCACCATGCCCGGCTAACTTATTTCTATATATATTAGTTGGCCAATTAATTTCTTTCTATTTTTAGTAGAGACAGGGTCTCGCTCTTGCTCAGGCTGGTTTCGAACTCCTGACCTCGAGCAATCCACTAGCCTGGCCTCCCAGAGTGCTAGGATTACAGGCATGAGCCACCATGCCTGGCCCTCATTATGGTTTTGATTTGCATTTCACTAATGACTAATGGTGTTAAGCATCTTTTCATGTGTCTATTTACCTTACACACACACATACATACACAAACACATATATATCTTTGGAGAAATGTCTGTTTAAATCCTTTGTCCATTTTTAAATTGGATCGTCTTTTTGGGGGGGGCAGAGTCTCGCTTGTTGCCCAGGCTAGAGTGAGTGCTGTGGCGTCAGCCTAGCTCACAGCAACCTCAAACTCCTGGGCTCAAGCAATCTTCCTGCCTCAGCCTCCCGAGTAGCTGGGACTACAGGCATGTGCCACCATGCCTGGCTAATTTTTTCTATATATATTAGTTGGCCAATTAATTTCTTTCTATTTGTAGTAGAGACGGGGTCTCGCTCTTGCTCAGGTTGGTTTTGAACTCCTGACCTTGAGCAGTCCGCCTGCCTTGGCCTCCCAGAGTGCTAGGATTACAGGCGTGAGCTACTATGCCCAGCCTGGATTGTCTTTTTTTTTTTTGAGACAGAGTCTCACTCTGTTGCCCAGACTAGAGTGAGTACCATGGTGCTAGCCTAGCTCACAGCAACCTCAAACTCCTGGGCTCAAGCGATCCTCCTGCCTCAGCCTCCCGAGTAGCTGGGACTACAGGCATGCAACACTGTGCCCCACTAATTTTTGTATATATATTTTTTAGTTGGCCAATTAATTTCTTTCCATTTATAGTAGAGACGGGGTCTTGTTCTTGCTCAGGCTGGTTTTGAACTCCTGAACTCGAGCAATCCACCCACCTCGGCCTCCCAGAGTGCTATGGATTGTGTTTTATTGTTCAATTTTAGGAATTCTTTATATTAATATATTCTAGGTACAAGCCTCTCTCACATACATGATTTGCAAATACCTTCTCCCATTCTGTGGATTTTCTTTTCACTTTCTTAATGGTGTCCTATGAAGCACAAAAGTTTTTAATTATGATGAATTTTAATTTATTTTTTCTTTTGTCACTTCCAGTTTTTCTGTTGTATTTAAGAAACTACCACCTAATCCAGGGTCACAGATTTTCTCCTGTTTTCTTTTAAGAGTTTGATAGCCTTATTTCTTACATTTAGGTCTCTGACCCATTTTAGTTCTTTTTTGTATATGATGTGAGATGAGTAGGGAGTCCAGTTTCATTCTTGTGTGTGTAGATATCCAGCTGTCTCAGCACCATTTGTTGAAAAGACCTTTCTTTCCCCAAATGAATTGTTCTGGCACTAGTTTGATATTTTAAATATGATTTTTGTTTCTATCACAAAATACATTTCTGAATCAAGTGTGTAATGGTTATTGTATGTAACTCGCTACAAACTCAGCAATAAACATATGACAAGATAATAAGGAGCTGCCTTGATTCTCTTACAAGTCCCTTAATGATACATACTTTAGTTTGAAGATGAACATGCTGTTACAGGAATCAGTGACATTCCAGGATGTGGCTGTGGACTTCACCCTGGAGGAGTGGCAGCTGCTTGATTGTGCTGAGAGAACCCTGTATTGGGATGTAATGTTGGAGAACTATAGAAACCTCATCTCAGTGGGTAAGGACAATGTATGGTAACTTTTTGGTATAACTCAGAATTTAATAGTAGTGCCCTTCTTTTCAGAGTTGTGAAAGCTGTGAGCTTTCTGAAACATTAGTAAGTTTGACCCTGAATTTTAGTGCTTAAAAATTCTTAATCCCAGGCCCGGCGCGGTGGCTCACCCTATAATCCTAGCACTCTGGGAGGCCGAGGCGGGCGGATTGCTCAAGGTCAGGAGTTCGAAACCAGCCAGAGCAAGAGTGAGACCCCCGTCTCTGCTATAAAGAGAAAGAAATTAATTGGCCAACTAATATATATAGAAAAAATTAGCCGAGCATGGTGGCACATGCCTGTAGTCCCAGCTACTCGGGAGGCTGAGGCAGGAGGATTGCTTGAGTCTAGGAGATTGAGGTTGCTGTGAGCTAGGCTGACGCCACAGCACTCACTCTAGCCTGGGCAACAGAGTGAGACTCTGTCTCAAAAAAAAAAAAAAAAAAAAAATCTCTTAATCCCCTTTAGGGATCAGATAGTCTGTGTATGCTTCTACCTGCCAAATGGAGAAAGGTCTATTCTAAAACCCATTTGTTAACCTTTGAAGGCCCTGTGACTCAAGGAGGCTGACCCGAGTTGTGAGGTAGTTGTTTGCCTAGCACTTTGTCCCAACTTCTGTGTTTTTTCCCACCCACAGGATGTCCAGTTTCCAAAACAAAAGTGATCTTCAGGGTGGAGCAAGGACAAGAGCCATGGATGGTAGAGGGAGGGAACTCATGCTGGAGCCATCCAGGTGAGTGACAGAAAATCAGATGCGAGTGTTTGGAATTGAGATCCCAGTTGGGCAGTGAGGGACAGCCACCTTTGAAATACTTTTAGGAAGCACCTCTTAAAAGCCCCACACCTTTGGAAGTGACTGGGTACACTTGACATAACATCACCAGCTCCTCGAATGATACCTTCACTCTCCCCACATAGGTGCTCTTTCCTCTTTGCTCAGCTGTTGTATGGAGGGACATCCCTCTCCTATCTGCTCTGGCTCCTCACACTACCTAGCTCAACTAGATCCTTACTTTGTTTCTGTTCTCAACATGATTACAGATCTTTTTCTATGCAGTTAGTCCTTATGATGTCATCAGATTGTGTAGATTTGAAGCATTACTCCACCAATCACTGTCTAAACTTGGACAAATACTTTTGTACCACAGTTGTCTTTATAAAATAGGAATAATGTTACTCTTATTTTAGCATATGTGCTACTGGAAGCAAGCACATGGAATAATATTAATCCCTACCTCAATTTTCCTGTAAAGATTATATGAGCTAATACATGCAAAACACTTCAAATAGTTGGCAGATTGTGTTAAGTATATGTGGGTTTTTTTTTAACTTTTGTTACATCATACTCGATTTTTCGTTTTTAAAAAACACTTATTCCTCTTCTTCGTCGTACACCCTACCTTGCATCGTTAGTCTCACTGATAACGTGGTGCATCTTTCTGTTTCACTTGATAATGTTGATATCTTTTAAAAATTCTCCTCTAACTTTAGTTGTTTCCTTGCTAACTCACACCCTGTCTTACTGCTTATTTGCCTTTTGCTTCATGCCTTCTCGTCCATCTTCTTAACTTCTCTCCACAGTAGCCTCATCAGAAGCCTCATTACTCTGAAGACTAAAGTTGTCTTATGCTATCTGTAGCATCTTTGCCTCACCCACTTTCCATTCCCATCATTTTACCTAGTAGGCCTTATTTTCTATTAATATCTTTCCCATAATAACTAATTTTTTAAATTCTTCAACCTTCACTATTATCTTCACATTACTATAAAGAACAAGAAGACTGCTTTGCAGTCTCAAAATCACTGTGGTAGGCAATTTGGATTTTTTCTCTCAATAGACTGTCTTAAATACTATAGTGACTTATGGCCTATGACTTCAGCTATTAGTTTATTCAAAACTACTTCAAAAGAAAAGTTTCCCTTTCTACAGAGATCATAAAAAAGTATCTTTCAAATTGTTAAAATACCACTTTAACTATATTTTAGATTCCCTGGGACCCCAACTCCTGCTGACATAAACCAATGAATTTTAATTACTGATATCATGTCTGGGCTGTTTATGTTACTATTTTACCAATTCCATTCTGTTTTCTAATTTATCTCAGATGTTTCTCCAAGATTTATACAAATTATTCTATTTTTCTTGTCGCTTTTCTGATAAATATATAATTCCTTTATAACCTATATTGTGATATTTAAATGGCTTTTAGTGTCCTTGATCATGTAGTCCCATTTTGCTTACCCAGAATTATTCATCTTTATCCTATTACATAGAAATTGGGCTCTTTAATGTCCTCTATACACAGTTTTCCTCTCTTTGCCAATCCTTTTTTTGAGACAGAATCTCTCTCTGTCACTCCAGCTAGAGTGCAGTGGTGTCATCATAGCTCAGAACAGCCTCAAACTCCTGGGCTAATGCAATCCTCCTGCCTCAGCCTCCTTTGTAGCTGGGACTACAGGCTTGTGCCACCATGCCAAGCTAATTTTTTCTATTTTTAGTAGAGATAGGAGTCTCGCTCTTGCTCAGGCTTGTCTGTAACTCCTGAGCTCAAGCAATCCTCCCTACTTGGCCTCCCAAAGTGCTAGAATTACAGGCAGGAGGCACCGTGCCTGGCCTGCATCAATCCTTTTGATGCTGGTGTGTCTTCCTCACTAAAACCAGCGTGCTTAAGTCTGAGTTCAGTTTCTCCTTTTTCATGGTAATTTCACTCTAAATTAATTACTCTCTTTGAACTCCCAAGCCAACACTACTATGACTCTATCATGAAAAGTTAACATATACTGTCTTGGATTTTTTTTTTAAAACCCTTGTGGCTTTTAAGGCAAGTTTTTTCATGATAGTGCCCTGAAGGGAACAGTCTACATTATTTTTTCCTTTATATTAATGCTGAGCCTGTAATGGCATTCAATGAACATTTTATTAATTCATTATTGTAGAGCCAGACATTGTGGGGGATGTTTCTTATTTTTCCATTCAACAAAGCTTTTTAAATTTTTTATTTTATTTTTTTACATGCTCCCTAGAAAGGTATCCAAGGCTTTTTTAAAAAAAATGTTTCCTGAGAAGGTTCAAAGAAAGCAAAAACCCATTACCACTTTCTAAGTTTATAAATGGTAATTAGAAACAGCACAACATAGTCATATTAAAATATTTCAAAATTTGACAAGTGAGTATGAAACATTTGTTTGATGCACATTAACATTTCAGTTTTGTTCCAGTTAATTGTCAGAATGAATGGTACAGATAGTTGCAATGACTATTTTAGAAATTAAAAGAAAATGGACCTTAAAGTTTTAAAGTATGCAAAGATTGGAGAAGTCTTTTTTTGAGATCATGAAACAATGGCTTCTCCCTAAAGAATATCTAGGTACTAGATAGAATGAGAGGAGGTGAGGGAGGCCAAATTAAGGTGCAGAAGGAACATGAGCAAAAGATCAAGGACCAGGTGCAGTGGTTCATGCCTGTAATCCTAGCACTCTGGGAGGAGGCTGAGACAGGAGGAATGCTTGAGGTCAGGAGTTCAAGACCATCCTGAGCAAGAGCGAGACCCCATCTCTACTGAAATTAGAAAAAATTAGCTAGATGTGGTGGCTTGCACCTGTAGTCTCAGCTACTCAGGAGGCTGAGGCAGGAGGATCGCATAAGCCAGGAGTTTGAGGTTGCTATGAGCTAGGCTGATGCCATGGGACTCTAGCCTGGATGACAGAGCAAGACTGTTTAAAAAAAAAAAAAAAAAGATGGAATTTAGGAATCCAGAATGCATGGAAAAGAAGATATTTGTTGAGGACCAGTGGAAAGCATGCTTAACCCCATGAGTGAATTCATACAGGCATAATTTTGTATATAAGGCTAATTACCCTCAATTTTTCAGGTGGTTATTATTGGTAGAAGTGACACAGGATGCTGCTTCTCATTGGTTGAAGTAGAGAGGAAAGAAGAAAAAAACTAAATCCCTATATTCAGAACCACTCTATAAAGAAATGTAGGCGGGGGGTGGGGGGAAAGAAATGTGTATTGATGGCCATAGCCCACTCACTGCTCAGTCTAGCTCCACAGAGACAGATAAAGCATAGAGCAAGAGGCAAGGGGTGTTGTACTAATACTCCACATGGAGGGATACTTAAGAGTGGGGAATTACAACCCCCTCAACCCAACTGTTTTTCTAATTGAGCAGCAGATTTGGGATTTATAATATTTTGAGCATAGGAACAAAAAAATATGACTTAAGGGGCAAAGCCGCTTTCTAGAGGGCAACTTCAAAGAGGATGTGTTAATAAAAACAGTACTTGTCACATAAAATTGGACAGATAGCTGTCATATACAGAAAGCCAGCCAGAGTTAAAAATGATAGCAAATAGACAGAATCTATGCCTGGGCCTAGGATGTCTTGTCCTTGGATGACTTGCTGGACATTTGTGTTCCTGGGCTTATAAGTATATGTAAGAGTGAATCCCAGCTGTCAGTAGAGCTGGAGCTTTGTCTACAGATATGTCTCAGCTGTGGTTTGGATGGTGGTAGAGGACTGGAAATATAAGAATGTTCTTAAAGGAAAGTGACATTGTGCAGGGTGACTAAGAGGAAAAAGAGATACAAAGGAGAGAAATAGGGAATTATCTACCAGGGTGATCTAGGAATTGTATAGTGAGAATTCTGCTTCTTATTGCCTCCTCCAAACCTAGTCTGTTCTCTAATATGTTCCCTTAACTCCCTTGTCTCCTGTTCCCCTATCCATTAAGCATATCTCCATGATGATCTCTCTTCATTCTATGAGCTAAGCCTGCACCCCTGTTGATCAACCTTTTGACTTCCTTTGTACCCTACTCACTGTACCTTTTGCCTGTTTTACTGTCTTTCCACAGGTCATGTTAAGCCATCTGTTCTCATTATTCATCTGCTCCCATTTCTTTTTTAGCAGTTTTATTCTTAGAACTCAAGAGGAACAAGGCAAATACAGGATTTGTTTCAGAATAAGAGACTAGATTTGAAACCATAGATGTTTCTCATACCATGTTGGTAGGAACAAATAACTAGGAATGTTTTATTGTATTCCGTTTTAGAAGCTGACTGCCCACTTGTTGATGAACCAGAGAAGCAAGAGGAAAACAAAGACAATTTTTTGACATCAGTTTTGTTCACATTCAATAAAATTCTGACTATGGAGAGAATCCACCGTTATAACATGAGCACAAGTCTTAATCCTACAAGAAAAAAATCATATAAACCACATAGGAGGAGTGTGCAACCTAATTTAGACTTTCTTAATTATAAGAGAAGTTATTGTGGAAAAAACTCTTGTGAATGCTGTGAATGTGAGAAGGACTTCAAAAAGAAGTTTCATTTCATTAGACATGAAACAAACCATACAAGAAAAAGGCCTTTTGAATGCAATGACTGTGGGAAAGCCTATAGTAGAAAGGGACACCTTGCTACTCATCAGAAAATTCATAATGGAGAGAGACCCTTTGTGTGCAGTGACTGTGGGAAAGCTTTCATGCATAAAGCTCAACTTGTGGTCCACCAGAGACTTCACACTGGAGAGAAACCTTATGAATGCAGTCAGTGTGGGAAAACATTCACTTGGAGCTCCTCCTTTAATCAACATGTGAAATCTCATACACTTGAGAACTCATTTGAATGTAAGGAATGTGGGAAAACCTTCAGGTATAGTTCATCCCTTTATAAACATTCTAGATTTCATACAGGAGAGAAACCCTACCGATGTATCATATGTGGCAAAGCCTTTGGCAACACATCTGTGCTTGTTACACATCAAAGAATTCACACAGGAGAGAAACCTTATGGATGTATTGAGTGTGGCAAAGCCTTCATCAAGAAGTCTCATCTCCTTAGACATCAGATAACACACACAGGAGAGAAGCCATATGAATGTAACAAATGTGGGAAAGCATTTTCCCAGAAGTCAAATCTTATTGTACATCAGAAAATTCATATGTAATATTCCCTTTATGAATATGAGAAGAACTTAAATATTAGGTAAATATTACGAGATAGAGAATTCATGTCAAGGAGAAATCCACAATTTGAATGATTTTGAAAGGGTAGATTCCCATAAACAATCAAGCCAATCATGTTTTAGAAGTGATAATAAACGTTTTACAGAAAAAAATCACAGAAAACACTAAATTACAAATAATAGAGCATAGAGCTTGGAAAGAAAGCATAAATAATCAAGGAACCACTAAAAACTACATTTACCATTCCTGACTTTAAATTTTATAATAAATAATATAGTTATGCAAGTGTGAGTATAAAGTACTTGCTTATTCATTTTATTAAATTATACCTATTATGAGTTTCTGCAGTAAACATTACCATTTTTCCTTCTAATCCTAACAATAACAACATAATTAACCAAATTAGAAAATGTGGTTTAATATGTTCTATGAATTTCAGTAATATTTTCATCCATTTGCTGGCACTTTTAATGGGCATGGCAGTGTTACTGAATCTGAGTCTCCTCCTTAATTATAGAAGTGAAGACTTCTTATAAAAATTCTTACAAAGATGTTTTCCTTTATATGTAAACAACAAAACAAAAAATTTAACAAGATACTAATTGAAGAGAATAAAGCAATTTTGTTCTGTATTATAATAAGTATTCAGTTGAGGAAAGGAAGTATTTAAATATGTAACTAAAACATTTGGACTTCAAATATTCCTGTTCTTTTTCATTGGTATAGCTATGTAAGATGTAAGCATAGCTTAAGAGGTATTTAAGTGGGGTATCATCTGTATTTTAATAAAGTTAGGGTGTCATGATACTTTGCAAAGGTTTGGGAATTTTGTTTTTTTAAGAAACCAATACAGGTTTAGCTCCTGGAGGTACCTGGAATTTTCCATATGAGCAGCGTAGGCATTATTAATGAAGTTCTAAGTTCTACATATTCTCTTTGAAGGACTAATCAGCCATTATGTAAGCTAACATTTCTAGTGTTTGCCACAGTATTCCTTGGTAATGTCAAAAAACTTTTATGCCTTTTCTTGAGTGGTGACAAAACTCAGCTTAAACCTAAATTCAGAAATTAAGCCTTTTCCTTTTAAGTTTAAGCTCAGTTACTATTTTGCAATGTTTTTCTTTCATTAGACATTTCATGAAGAGCTATGTTGAGTAATAACTATAAATGAATGACAGTGCTTTTTTGAACACACATACTGGAACTTAAAGACTCAAATGTTTGTCTTTCTAATGTTATTTTAGAAGGCTATGTCCTAATTTCATTTATGCAGTCATTCCAAAAGTATCTGGAGCCTTCCTTTCTTGGAATTGTCTTCAGAATCAGTTTGCCAGCCACAAGGAAAATCTAGGTATTTATAGGCACAGGATTTGCCTTTTACCAGCTCAACATTTTTCTGTCATTTCATATATGAAGTCCTCATTTCATCCTACTTAGTGTTTACCATTCCCATCCTACTTCCTTCCCCTGCCTGTGACCCTCATTGAGAAACTTCAAACTACACAGACAACAGCAAGAGTGATGAGGGCTCCACTGTTGCCAGAACAGTGTGAGATGCCCTGGAAAGAGCAGCTGTGTAATCACGGTGGCAAGAAATAAGCAATAGGCTGCTCCAGCTGACTGGAAATAAGATGGAGCCAGGAAATTTTAATTGTGATGTATCAGCATGCATGTAATCTGGGTTCCATAAATTTGCTTGCTCCCTTTCTTAAGTGGAAAAAGAAATATAATAGACTAAATTAAAATGCATTTGTATGGGACAGTGCCAGATGAGGAGTTTCACTGGGATGGTATACCTGTCATATATATAAATTTGTAGTACTGGACAAATATAAATTGCCACCTAGAGACTTTCTGTCACTGACCTCACTCCTCACTCTCAGACTGTAAAAGATTTTGGCAAGAAAACCAAAATGGCTCAGTTCAATCCAAATACCTTTGATTCCTAGAACTCCCTAGTTTACGTGTTCTCTGTCACTGAAACAGCAATGCACAATCTTAAATGAGAAATCCCTTGATTTTCCTCACCTCTAAGAGATTTTCTTTTTTTTACTTTGTAAAAGGATCATTCAGAAATATCCTCTTTCTGGCCTGTCTACCAACACAGAGTATCTACCCTGGACTGCTTAGTGAGGGAAAGATAAACTTCTATTTTGTCTGAGCCAATATATTTTAAAGTCTATTTGTTATTGCAGTTTAGTCTACCTTAACTGGGTAGGAGTTGGCATTAAAGTACTGTAAGCAGGAGAATAATGATCAGGTTAATATTTTGAAGGATCACGTAGGCAAGCTATGTGGCAGATTGATTGCAGAAAGCAAGACCAGTTAGTAGAATATTGCAGTAGGCCACATAAGAAATGACAAAGAACTAAACCAACACTGTGGTACTGGGGGATGGAGAGAAAGCATTATGTTCAAAAGATATTTAGGAAGGGGGAATGAACAGGTGTTTATATCAACGTATGTGCTATGATTGAAAGGCAAATAAAAACTGGTCAGGGTTTGGTGAATTAAATTCCCCCTCAGTGGTAGAAGTATAAATTGGCATAACTTTTTGAACCATGATTTAGCAACATGCATTAAGTTTTAAAACTTCAAACCATTTGATAAAACAATTCCATTTCTAAGAATCTGTACTAAGGAAATGAGAAATTTGATAAACAGTTTATGTATAAAGATATTTATTACACTTATTTACACCTGCAAAGTTTAGAACAATAGTCACCTCTTATTGACTAAATGTTTGTATCCCCTCCATTCATATGTTGAAATCCTAACTCCAATGTGATTGTAGTAGGAGGTAGGACTTTTGGCAGGTAATTAGGTTATGAAGGTGGAGCCCTTATGAATGGGATCAGTGCCCTTATAAAAGAGACCCCAGAGAGCTCTCTTTCCACTGTGTGAGATTACAACAAGAAGTTAGCAATCTGCAACCCAGAAGAGGGTCCTTTGCCAGAACCCAACCATAGTGCCAACCTGATGTCAGGCTTCCAGCCTCCAGAACTGTGAGAAGTTCATTTCTGTTTATAAGCTACCCAGTCTATGGTGCTTTGTTATAGCAGGCTGAACTGACTAAGACATCAACCAAAACCAAAATCTACTTAGTGGCTTATAACAACAAAGATTATTTCTTGTCCATACAACCTGCCCATGCTGGACAGGCTAGGGACTCAGCTCCATGTTGCCTTCACTCCAGAACCATCCTGCATATGTTTGGTATCTACTGCTGCATAACAAATACTCTAAAACTTAGTGGCCTAAAACAACAAACATTTATTATCTTATAGTTTCTGTGGGTCAGGAATCTGGACTGAGGGTCCAGATCAGTCCAGAGGCAGGGTCTCTTATAAGACTGCAGTCAAGGTGTCAGTAGGGGCTACAGTCATCTTAACCACTTCTGTACAGTGCTCACTGGCTGCAAAACTTTGCCCACAGCCGGCACTCATAGTCCACACAATAGTTTGTGTTGTGCACTGACGACGAATTTGTTTTGCTCTTGTGTGATGAGGAAAGCTTTAAAGCACTGAAAGCTTGTTTTACTTTACAGGCAGCTTTACTTGTAATGTAAATCAGAATAGGTAACATATACACATATGTTTTTATTACGTTATTTTTTTTAATTTTTTTTTATTTTAGCGTATTATGGGGGTACAAGTGTTAAGGTTACTTATATTGCCCATGCTGTTATTTTTAAATGTTCACAATTTTATTTTGATAAATGAAAAATTACAAAAGTCATATCACGGCTGTCGGCTAAAGTTGCTGTGCGCATTCATCTGTGCCTATCGACTATAGTCGACACTCGTACTGAAGTGGTTAAAGCTCAACTAGGGAAAGGATATGTTTCCAGGCTTACCTATGTGGTGATTGGCAGGCCTTAGAAGGTCTACTTCCAAACTTACTAAGGCTGTTGGCAGGCCTCAGGTCCTACCTGGCTGGAGACATCAGTTCTTTGCCAAATACATCTTCCATGTACCACATAGGCAGCTCACAACAAAGCAGCTGGCTTCTCTAGTAAGAGAGGAAGTGAACCAAAAAATGAGAGATGGCTAGCAAGACAGAAGCCAGAGTTGTTTTGTAACCCAATTGTGAAAGTGACATCCCATCACTTTTTCCATATTCTTCCATTCATTAGCAGTAAGTCACTATGTTCAGCCTACACTTAAGGGAAGAGGATTACACAAGGGCTTAAATACCAAAGGAGGGGGCCATTGGAGGCCATTTTAGAGTCTTCCTGCCACACTAAACATTACAATCTCTGGGCCAGAGGGAAAAGAAACATGACAAAGTGTGCATTGGCTCTTAGAAGATTCCTTTTGGAAGTGGCACACATTGCTTCTTATATTTTATCATCAAACAAATCACATGGTCTCTGCCAACTTCTAAGGGATGGGAAATTGCAATTCTACCAATGTGCTGGGAATGTTGCTGAATGCAGGTTTGGCAGCCTGCCACTGAGAACCAAACACCAGAGACCCATGTTGGTGAAGGAAAGGTGGTTTATTCAAGTGACAGCAGCTGGAGGAGATGTTGGATGTTGTCTGAAAGACCATCTCATCTTTCTCTGCTTATTGAGCAACTCATAAAGGGAAGGAGAGAAGAAGGTATGTAGCAGAAAGCAAGCTTTGTGCAAGTGTTAACGAACCCACAAGAGGGGTTCAATGTTGCCCAATGCACAGAAAGCTAATTCTGGGACAGCTGGGATTGTTAAGGAGGAGAGGATTTATTTCAGTTGCATGCATCAACTGGCAGGGAGAGGTTAGGAAATGACTTAAATCCAACTCTATGACCAACATGGTCAAGGGGTTTTTCTGGAGACAAAATGAACATTGCATGTTTGGGATGGAATGCAGAGCACACAAATGCAGTGAGAAATTATGCTAGTATATATGTCCCATGATCAATAAATGGTGGATAAGTCCCTCCCAGGGCAGGGATTTTAGTATTATAATAAGCTAAGAGTTAATATCAGTTGTTCTTTCAGGCTTGTGCGCAGGCTCAGTGGGTCTTTGGGCACAGTCTGTAGTGGAGAATCGCTTATCTTATCTTCTCAGGGCAAACAGGTGTGAAGCTTTGTAGGAGGTTCCTGGTTCCTGGGAAAGAAACTCTAAAAGAGAATGCATCAGTGCAACAGAAATGTACAAAGTTCTGGTCAGCAAATTGTATAGAGAGTTCTCTATTTTCTGCCCATTTTGAGACTGTAGCTGCTAAGTTACCAGGGGTGAGATATATCTTATTGTCAAGGTCACTTAGAGCTGCCAGCTCCACCCATAATGTGAACACTGAAAACTTATTTGAAATATGAGGGAACTAAAAATATTGAGAAAACATTTTCTTGCTTATGGAACTGGTTACACAAGTCATCATAACTTGTTCGATGGCTATCAGCAATCAACAGGTCATCCGGTGGATCTTGTCATCAGCTGTTTGCGATAGGCCTGTCCCAGACTCTGTTTTTTTTTTTTATATCAAGGTTGTTTTCTAATCTTGTGCCCAGCAACTGAGTAAGCAAAGCAGCAAGTTAATTCTAAATTTTAAAGATCAAGCCAGAAGCGTACTGGAAGCAAAATGGCTTCCCTTTAACCTAGCAATATAGTCTGAATGGCCCTTGGGGTGCACTTACAGAAGAGGGAATCCGGAATATTTGCGAACAGTGCTAATGATTACCTCAGCTACAGGTTCAACAATGGCAGGATTGTTTAAGATTTTGATACATCTATGTAGCCATGAAGCTGGATTTGTCCTTTAGCCCAGGAAACCATAATCAACAGCTGAGATATCAAGTGCTCCACATTGTAAAAAGGGCCACAAATAATTGGGGCCTGACAACCTCTCCACTTCCGGGATTTATTAAAAGGTGACTAAACCGATTTCCCTATCCTGAACCATCTTCCCAGACCTGCTTTGGCGACGCCCACTCCCTGATATAAATACTTGTTGCGGGGTAGGGTTGGGGGTGGGAAGGGAATCACTAGTTGTGAATTATCTATAAGGGAAAATGCGTGGCACTTCTCTCCAAAAACAAAATGAGGATTCCAAAAGATTCTCCAGTGGAGATTGGGATGTTAGAAGCTTGAATGGAAACAAGGCAAAAGGGTGGCCTAGTGGACACCACATTTAGTGTGTTAGCTGGGGGTGGGGGCGGACCCAGACAGTTGGAAGAGGTCTCTCTGGGGTGGAAAGCCCCCATCAAACAACTGCGCAGGAGGGAGGCCTCACATTTGGCCCTTGAAGACCCTGCCTTTGAACACCTGCCCAGAGGCGCCTGTTCAGGTCAGCGTGAGCCAGTGTGGTAATACTCCAGAGAGGACCACCGGTCAAATGAGAAACACGCTTTCCTTCCCTCTTCTAGTCCCCAACTTCCAAAGAGCCAAACTCAGAAGTGCGAGGGGGGAGGAGACGGCCAGGTGCGGTGCGGGCTCCGACCTGGTCTCGCTGGGAAGCCCTAGGTGCCGAGTAAACTCCTGCGTTTGAAGAGGGAGGCGTTCGGCACTCCCATTGTAGCTTCCTAGGAACTAAAATTGAAAAGTGATTTTTCTACCCGTGACAAGGCTAAACGAGGCAGTTTCACACGGTACAGTGCGAGGGTTGGAGAAGCGCGGGCTGACAGAAACGACCACCGAGATGACTGCGGCGGCGCGCCGCGGGGCCTTATGGGCTGCGCCGGGGCTCTCGGCGCAGGCGCAGTGCGGTGGCGGGGCGCGCTTGGCCGGAGGCCCACTGTCTGGGAGGTAGGTGAATACGGGCGGCTCCGCTGGCAGCTACTGCAGCAATACTCGGGTTCGGAGGGGTATGGTGGGTGAGAAGGCCAGAGTAAGGATGGCACTGAGGAACTTGAAACCCCAACTCTGGGACCCCGGGAGATGGTCTCTAAAATAGAGTGTGGCGCGGGCGATTTGTCTGTGGAGGATTGAATCCTCCCGGGTTCTCTAAAGCAGTCACTTCACCCAGCTCCGCTGTCCCCAGAAAGAAGCATTAACAGAATCTGCCGCCCGAGGCTCTCCAGGATCCCTTTCACCTACTCCTTCCTTGGCTCAGCAGCCCTGTGCCCGCTGCTCCGGGCTGTGAGCGCTCTCAGGTCGCGGCCGCCATCCCGGACACTAGCCGTGCGGGTCAGCGGCGTGTCTCCGCTCACAAAGTAGTGTGTGCGGGGTGCTTCCACACTTTGGTGTCTCAGGTTTCTCCCTCAAGGGTTTGGTCATCTGCTGTGTAGTCCCTGTGCCCAGAGGTCCCTGTGCTTAGCCTGAGTTCCTCCAGGTTTGTATCCTGGGAGGTACTTGGGATAAGTTTGATCCACCCCTCACCCCCCACCCCCACCCCCGCCCCGGGTTTCTGTGAGACTCTTGCTAGGGAGACAGAGATTTGGGCCTCAGGAGAAAGATGCCACCCAAGGAAAAGCTGTTTCTGATTGCACAGAAACAAGCCATGCTCTTAAGAATGAAGGCTGCAGGCAGCTGGAACCCATCTTCAGAAGACTTACTGTGACCCGAGGCTTCCTGCCAAAGCTACTGAGCCAAGGCTGGAGTCCAGAGGTGGAAGGGGTTCTGGAGATGCTGGGTCTACAGAAGTTACTTGGCAAGGCTTTGATCACGTGACCACTTGCACAGACTAGGGAGAGACTGGAGGTTTTGACTCAGAATAGAAGGGAGATGTACCTGAGATGGTAAATAGTCTGTAATGTGGAGAAGAGAAGACATTATAGGTCAGGATAGTTGAGGGAATGGTTTAGGCAAGGCAAAAAGAGTTGTCTTATTTGGCTATCCAAAGAACGGCAAGGCAGGCCTGGTCTCTCATGAGTCCTTTCTCTTTCAGCTCTGCCTCTTTAACAACTCTGATCTTGTCCAAGAGGAAGAAGAGATGACCAATTTCCAGGTGAGATTCAATTTTCCCTTCTCAGTCCAGAATGTGTGTACTCTTGAGAAAAAAAGTTCTTTATGCCTTAGGAAAGGAGAAGGAAACCAACATTTATGGAGCACTTTGCATTCTAGACACACTTAGCATTGACTTTTCTTTTAATCCAACAGCTATGAAAAACAAATATTATTCCCCGTTTTGGAGAGGTAGCAATTGGTTTAGTAAGGTTAAGAGACTTTCCAAGGTGCCTGGTGTGATGGCTCACACCTATAGTCCCAGGACTTTGGGAGGCCAAGGTGGGAAGATTGCTGGAGGCCAGGAGTTTGAAACCAGCATGGGCAACATAGACCCCTTCTCCACAAAGGATTAAAAAAAAAAATTAGCTGGGAATGGTGACATGTGCCTGTAGTCCTAGCTATTCCGGAGGCTGAGCCAGAATGATTACTTGAATGCAGGAGTTTGAGGTTACACTGAACTGTGAGCTGTGATTGTGCCACTGTACTCTAGCCTGGCAACAGAGTGAAACCCTGTGTCAAAAAAAAAAAAAAAAAAAAAAAAAGAAGAAGACTTGCCAAGTTCAAGCAAGCTATTAAATGGTGGAGCCAGGATTCATCTCTAAGTCTGTTGCCTATGCTGTATGTGTTGTCAATGGACAAGTCTTCTCATCCAGGGACTGAATTGAAATTGTTCACATCTAGAGAGTTGAGCCTAATCTGGGCCATGAAGGACACCAAGGGGAATGCTGTCTTCTTGCCTGGTGCCCTCCTTTAGGTTTGACGTCTTCACTACTTAACATGTTGCTTATTCATTCATCCACTTAGTTGTGGCTACTCTGTGCTCATTTATAAAGGCAAAACAAATAGAATTGGATAAAGTTCTTACTTTAAAGTGTGTGGTTTCTTTGGGGGGAGATAATACAAACATATATAAAATAATTATTACTGCTCATGTAAATGTTAAATAAAATGCAAAGAATCCATATTTACCTGCCAGTTTGAGGAGTGCAGTCAGTGCTGTTATCAGTGTTAGAGGAGGGGAAAAATCAGTGTGGACCAGGGTGATGAATAAAGATTTCTTGAAGGAAGGGTGCTTTTATTTCTTTAAAGATTTGAATATATGATTAATTTTCATACTTTATTCAAGTTTTATATACTTTTTGTTGTGGATGATTGGTTTATTGTCTAATATCAGTTTTTATATTATTTCATCTGTGCTTGAGTAGAATGTAGATTCTCTAACAGTAGGTACCAACTTCTATATGTGTCTATAAGACCTACCTCATCAAAATTTCTGTATCTTTACTGATTTATTTGTGTTTGCTTGACCCATCAATAATTGAAAAAAATATGTGGAATCTCTTTGATAGATGTGCCAATTTTTCTCTTTAGTCTTTCCATTTTTTCCTTTATGTAATTTAAGGATGTTTTATGAGGTATTACATATACAAGTTTAGAATTGTTATATCTTCATAGACATTTGAACTTTTTATCCCTATGTATGACCTTTTATATCATTGGGTTTTTTTAAATCTAGAAATAGATTTTATGTGATGTTAATATAGCTGTTCCAGCTTTCTTTTAGTTATAATTTCCTGTTTATCTTTTTTCATACTTGTACGTTGAACTTTGTCATAGTCTATGCTTTAGGAGTACAGTCATGCACCACATAACAGTGTTTGAGACAATGATGGACCACATATATGATGGTGATCCTATAAGATTATAATACTATATATTATTTTATTTATTTATTTATTTATTTTGGAGATAGGGTCTTACTACTTTGCCCGGGCTGGGCTCAAACTCACAATCCTCCCACTTCAGCCTCCTGAATATCTGGGACTACAGGCCCACACCACTGCAACTGACACCATATTGAGAAAAAGTCCCTCTCTGTTGCCCAGGCTGGAGTGCAGTGGCATGATCATAGCTCACAGCAGCTTCAAACTCCTGTGCTCAAGCAGTCCTCTTGCCTTAGCCTCCCAAGTGGCTGGGACTACAGGTGGGGCACCACCACACATGGCTAATTTTTTTGTGGAGATGGCATCTTGCTATGTTTTATAGGGTAGTCTTGAACTCCTGGCCTTAAGCAGTCCTCCCATCTCAGCCTCCCAAAGTGCTAGGATTAGCCTAGCAGTAATAGTGAGCCACGGCACCCCAACTACTGTATTCTCTATGTTTGGATGTGTTTATGTATACAAATACTTACCATTGTGTTATAATTGCCTATTCAGTACAATAACATGTTATATGGTTTTGTAGCCTAGGAGCAAAAGCCTATGTGTGTAGTAGGCTATACATCTAGGTTTATATAAATATACTCTATGATGTTTGCATAATGATGAAATTGCCTAGCATCAGCACACCCCCCCCCGAATATGGTAATATCTGCCTTTTTAATTGACAAATTTAGTCCATATATGCATTTAATGTAGTTATTGATATATTTGATGTGTTTCAATTTTATTTGTCCATTTTTTGCAGTTTTTCCCCCTCCTTATTTTTTTTGGTTTTTCTTTAAGTGGTGAAGGTTTTTTTTTTCCTCACTACTTGTTTGAAATTTATAATTTATATCTACTCTTTAGGTGGTGTGATATTATGATATATACCTATATATTGGTTTTCATCCACAGTTCCTGGCTCATAACTCCTATATATATAGTCCTTGTTACAGTCTTTTGCTATAATGTTGGGTATGTTAGGCCTCTGGAGCAGTTTCTGGAAACAATCTCTCTGACTTTCACCTGCCCCAAGGCAGGACTCTAATTTTCGCCACCTTTCTTATTGTGGATCATAAGACCTCCATTCTAGAAAGGGTCCCACCCCATACCCTGAAGGCTAATCACACTTCCACATGGTTGTCTGTAAAACCCTAAGAAAACTGAGTTCAGAAAGCTTCCAGATAGATGAACATGAGAAGCTTCCTGGAAGGTACTGCACCTAGAGAAGGCATGGAAACTCCACACTCCTTCCCCCATAACTCCCCCTATATATATATCTTCCTCTGTATCCTTTGTAATATCCTTTATAATAAACCAGTAGACATGTTTCCCTGAGTTCTATGAACTGCTCCAGCAAATTTTGAACCCAAAGAGGGAGTCGTGGAATTGCCAATTTTTAGTTAATTGGTCAGAAGTCCTGGAGACCTGGACTTGAGACTGGTATCTGAAGGGAGAGCAGTTTTGGAGACTGAGCCCTCACCCTGTAGGATCTGATGCTATCTCCAGGTAGATAATGTCAGAATTGAATTATAGGACACCCAGCTGGTGTCTGCTGCTTGGTGTGACAGGGAAAAAACCCCATGTTTGGTCACAGAAGTGTTCTGTGTTGATGAATGTTGTGCCCTGAGAGCAGAGGAAAAACACGTTTTGAGAGTTTTTCCTGAAACAAGTGGTTATCTTTTTTTGTGGGGTTTGGGGAGATGTGGTCTTACTCTGTTGCCCAGGCTAGAGTGCAGTGGCATCATCATATAGCTCACTGTAACCTCAAATTCCTGGGCTCAAGTGATCCTCCTGCCTCAGCTTCCCAAATAACTAGGACTATAGGCACGTACCACCACACCTGGCTAAACTTTATCTTTGAAATTTTAGCATGTGTATTTGACTACAAAGTCTAAGTTTAAACAATATATTAGCCTCTTTCAGAATAATGCAAGGATTTTAAAACTCCTTACTACTGATCATACCCCCTTTTAGCTTACAAGCTATTGTTTTCTGGCATTTTAATTCCATCCTTCTAACTTAATACATTAGATATTGTTATTGGAATTATTATTTTATGTAGACAGTGTTTGGTTTACATATATGTTTACAACTATATTTGCTCACCATTCCGTCTTGTAACTCTTCTTCCTGAAGTATATTCTTTAGAAGTTTTTTTTTTTTTTTTATATATATATGAGACAGAGTCTCTCGTTGTTGCCCAGGCTAGAGTGAGTGCCGTGGCGTCAGCCTAGCTCACAGCAACCTCAAACTCCTGGGCTCAAGCAATCCTGCTGCCTCAGCCTCCCGAGTAGCTGGGACTACAGGCATGCGCCCACATGCCCGGCTAATTTTATATACCTATACATTTCAGTCCTCACCACAACCAACACAACACCACCTGCGCTCGGGCGTCAATCTACTATTCCTCTCTATTTATAGTCAGAGACGCGAGGTGCGTCGCAATTTTGTGCAGAGTGGAACCACGCACTCATGATCTGACATATATGGGACCAGACAAAACCGCCTCAGCCGTTCCCACCGCGTGCTTCGTAGATTTGCCCCAGGGCGCTGCGGCGCGCGCCAGTGCGCATGAGCATCACGATCACAGCACCTTGCAACAACCTCTTGAGACTGTCATATTGACAGTTCTCTTTCCTTGTTCTATTTCTAGTCAGCCTAACTATATGCGTCCATACAAGCCTTTGGGGTACTTAATGATCGCGTAGGTTTGTTGTTACAATTCTTCTCTAAGCCCACCTATTAGATGAGCGGGAATGTTTTCTTTTTTGAGATGGAGACATTGGAGCAGTTTCTTTGGTCTATGTTTTATTGATTTGCGTGTTATGTTCCTTGTACTGCTCTCTCGTGCCTTTAAGGTTTCCGAGATGCACCCACTGATGTCTCAGCGCCCTTCGTTGCCCAGGCGCTAGAGTGAGTGCCGGGCGGTCCACACTGGACTCCAAGCTGCTAGCATGCATACGCCTAGCAGCGGCATAATAATGAAGCCACGGGCACCGCCAACTACTGTAATTATCCTATGGTTGGATGTGTTTATGTATATACAACAGTACCTTAGCCATTGTGTTCAGTAAATTGCCTATTCAAAGGTAAACAATATATATCATGGTTACACTCGGGCATTCAGAGCGATTTCGCTTAGGCCACAGCCGGACGACATACAGCCCTCATGTGCCTAGGGTAGTACTGGTGAGACGGCTACTACAACATGCGTCAGTGTCCTTATACACACAATGCGCCGGAGACTCTAAGTTATGCTTCTATGTAGTTAGTATTGCATAATGGTAAATTAGGAAAC